AAAAAAAAAAAAAAAAAAAGCAATTGTTTTCCCCATATGTTTGCACCCTGTACCCACCATTGTTGGTATTAATGTCGTAGCTGTTTTGCAATTGTTTTTGCTGCTGCAGCTGGTAATGGCCGTGAGAGTCAGTTAGTCAGTTAGTATTTTTTTTCTAACGGACAGCTTTTAAAAGTATTAAGAGAACTAAAAAAAGGGGCAACAGTTTATCTTTTGACCAATTTGTATACCAGTTTGATCGTCCTCAGATATGCCTCTGTGTAGCTTTCATCTGTCTCAAATTAGGAGGATTCAAATGATTTCCTGTAAAACGCTGTTAACAGTTTTTTTACCTTTGCTTGCACTAATTGGATTGTCTATTATTATGTTACAGATGAACGGTATCTCAACTTTTCTACCGAATGTATTCAACTGTTCCGGGAATACATCAAGATCATCGTGGGGCGGAACAAAACATCAAGTCAACATGTTAAATACTTAAGAAAAAAAATCTGACAGATTTATAAATTGTTTTTTCTTATTCATTTTAAAAATGAATCAGCAAGAAATTTGATCGGAGAATGTGGAAGAATGCTGATATTGCTGATGAAAATTTACAACCATTATCAGCTAAGAACTGCGGTGCTCTCCCTCTTTGAAATATTGGGATCACTTGTGCTTTTGCTAAAATAAATCAAAAATGGTTAGAATAGGATTGAAAAGACAGAAACAATGGGTTTTAAAAGATAGCACAACATGTTTTGATCAGATTATAATTTTTAATAGTCGTAACAATGAGAAACTGGACTAGGATACAGCCTAAAGAACTGACATTTTCTTTACTAGAAACAGTACTGTAAAGTCTGAAAAAAAAAAACGAAACTGCCCCGGAAAAATCGCCTAAGCGATGAATTGGGGAGATTTTAAATGCTGATAAAGTAAATTTGACGAGATGGGAACTGAACACTCATTAGAAGTTGATCTAATATACCTGGTAATTCATCCAAAAATCACTTAAATCATCTGAATGGTTACACTAAATTGATGTTGTCACTGAAATACTGCATTTTTTTACTGTATAATAGTTGCTTTGCTGAAATATTTACAGATTCTGTATGAGGTAAAACATAAGTTGTAGGTGAAGCAAAAAGATGACGCATATTAAAGGATGTGTTTCTTAACCGCAACTTTTTAACCAACAAATAACACCTCAAATCTACACTAGTAATTTCACTCTTTCAAGGATGCATTAAAACAAGAATTTTATGTCCTTAACAAGCAGAAGAAAGTGCGTGATTGCTTGAGTGCTGTGCAAAACAGTTCTAAGAAATCTTTAAGAAACCCCATTCTTTTGAATCTTAGTGATTCAGAAAGTCAACCAAATAAAGCATAACAGTTAAGCATTATTTTACACGTTCAGTTTCGTTATGTCATCTGCTTGCTTTAATCTCTGGCATTAGATAGTTGGCATTGTCACTTGCTGCCAGCTTCCTGCACTTTTCGTAATAAAAGTGATGATGACCTCTACTTTGGTAGTTTTTGCGGGGATTAAAGGCTAAACTTATCGTTTTACTACCCAACAAATAACCCTATTTTCAAAAAGAAAACTAAAAACGTTTATCAAAAAAAATTTCGA